CCTCTGGTGACAAGATGAAATAACAACATTGTGCTAACCTTGCCTGTAAGTTGAATCCTTAAGGTGTTTCACAAACACACCAAAATTCATCCCATTCCCACTTCAACTTGCATGTTTCCAATGTATCTCTTACGATGAAATACAAATCCCTGGATTAGAAGGCCTCACCCAGATTTTTAGCTACTTCATATTAGATTTACAACAACTGATCTAAAAATAGGTATACATTTCTTATAATAAGTGTATTTTACTTTCATTATAGCAGGCAAGTAAAATTATCTACCAGCAATATTAGCATTTTGGCTGCTAAAATAAGATATGCTAAATCTTAAATAAGAGGGGTTTTCATACTTTTCATTGACACATCTTTTTTTTTTTTTTGGTCATCCTCAAAGCGATTCTGGCAAACTGTCAGGTGATGGAAGGAAAACTTGGAGTATCTCCTCAACTTGACCATCTCTACCTTCCACTGAGGAAGAAGAGACGGGCTGCTCGAGGCAAGATTTGTTCACCACCCAGACTGAAGTCACCAAGGTGCTAAAAAAACTCCATGGTGGCAAGGGTTCAAAAAACCTTAGATCTCTGGATGTTGTCAGGATGTGGTGACTGACAGGCCTCTTCAACACAGCATGGAGGTCTGGGACAGTGTCTCTGAACTGGCTGACTAGATTGGTGGTTTCCCTCCATATGAAGTGGGTCTAGAGGGTGTGTTCCATCTATAGGGTGATCACACCTCTCAGTCTCCCCTGGAAAGCTTGCATCAGGAGGGAGAGAATAATTGCTGAGGTTTGGCTTCAAGAGAAGGGGTGTGGTTTTCATCCTGACCAAGGTACTCTAGATCACTTCTACATTCTCTGAAAGGTTCGCGAGAGTTTGTCCAACCTGTCTACATGTGTTTGTGGAACTGGAGAAGGCACTTGGCCATGTCTCTTGTGGGGTGCTGTGGGGGGGTGCTCAAGGAGTACGGAGTTGAGGGCTCTTTACTAGGGGCCACCAGGCCTCTGTGCCAGTAAAGCAAGAGTTTGGCATTAAGCAGGGCTTGTTCCCAGTGCATAATGGACAACACCAGGATTGCCCTCTGTCACTGGTCCTGCTCATCACCTTTGTAGACAGGATTTCTGGGTACAGCCAAGGGCTGGAGTGGTTCTGATTTGAGGAAAAGTAGCTTTCGTCCCTTACGTTTTGCAGATGATGTGGTTAAATCTTTCCTGCAAAGTCCTAAAGCATGCGCCGGGGCAATTCACAGAGTGTGAAGCGGCCAGGATGAGAATCAGCTGCTACAAGTCCAAGGCCATGGTTCTCAAATGGAAAAAGGTAGCTTGTCTGCTTCAGGTTGGAGGAGTTTCTGCCTCAATGGAGGAGTTCATATATCATGGGGTCCAGTTCATGAGTGGGGTATAATGGAACGGGAGATTGAAAGACGGATCGGTGTTATAATACAGACACTGATCTCTGTTGTGAAAAGAGAGTTAANAGCTGGCGTTTGACTGGGAAGAGCCAATTTGAATGGCTGCTACTGTAGGTGGGGCCTGGAACGAAATAGCTGTAAAGTCTATGTGTCGATTGAATGAACATTTGCCACTGGAAAATTATAAGTAGACCAGGATACAAACCAAAGAGGGGAGTAAATCCCAGCTTAATGATAACATCTTCATTCTCTGGCAACGTCTGGCTGATTGATTGGCTTTTACCCCCATCTTACATGTTTCTTTATTTCAGAATGTACAGTACAATCTTTTTCTACTATCAATCAGTCAGTTTTTAAATATAATACACTTGTTTTTTTGTTGTTGTTGTTTTTTTTTTCCAAATGTATTGTATTTAGTTTTAATTAAAATGATACAACATTCTAACCTTTATGTTGTTGAGGTTAACTTCCACCAAGTCAGGGTCGTTTTTCTGTATCCTCAGCAGCGTTTCCTCAACATCAGTGGAGTTGGGCTCCTCATCAGGGACATGTTTATACTGGGTGGGCTGAATCACACCTGGGGATTATCAAACGTATTACTGTTGTTGACATAAAATAATTATTCTAACTGAAGAAGAAAAGCAGCTTTTGCTAACTAAAGCAGAAGAATATCTTTACAATGGTTTATAAAATTAAATGTAATCAGATGACTCAGCAGCATTTTTTTCCAGGAGTAAACACATAGAAATTTATAGCCTTTAACAAAGTAAAAAAACCCAACTAATTAATCACTTTTTACAAGACTGTTTTATTTAAACTCTATCCTGATTACACCAGCATTTTCCTGCCCACTGAAGCATTTACAAAACACCCAATAATATGCATTTGTGTTGTTAAATACTGCTCCTAATAGACAATGTACAGCAAGAACAAATGTGTGTTTAACATACTATTGAGGCCTTGCTTGTTGACTATGGTGCTGCTTGCCAGAGCTTCGTAGTACTGCTGGTTACTCATTAGGGTGTGCATGCCCAGGATAGCTGAAAAAGCGAAGGAAAGCAAAATCAATTATCTATGAAGACAGAGCTTAATCATCATTAGACCCATAAACAGACTAATAGCATCAAACAACATTTATAATTTTCAGTTTAAACAAGATTACAAAACTTATTCTAATGTGTTAACTTAACCTGTTAAAACTGGCCTCATCGAAATCACCAAAAACGCCTGACCCTCCGTTAACCATTAGGAGGGTCTAGCCTGGCATATAAAACCATTGAAACTACTAACAGTAGACTTATTGGAAGCATCATGTGTCCTGCAGATGGGACATGACAATTGACAGGTTTAGAAGTCATTTTTAAAAGATCATAATCCAAGTTCCATAGTTTTTCAAAAGTTATCCCCCTCTGGTGACAAGA